AGCTGGCTGTATGACTTTCTGTGTGAATAGCTACAGTACTGTAAATATGTATAGTGACATACCCCCTCAGGCATTCATTGCTTTATGCGGTGCCAAATTTGAGTTGCTGCTTTGCTGTCAATCAAAAGCCACTTCATGATGCACCAAAAGAAACCAGCCTCGCTTTAAAGAAAAGAAACCCTGTCAGTCAAAGCCTATAGACATGTAAATCATCTCCGGTGCTGGGGTGTGTTTGGAGTCCCTCTCCACTCGGCCTGACCCTGCTGTCACAGCACGACTGGATTCTAGTTGCTAACGTATCTCAATTACTTAGATTGAGTTAGTCACACAGGTACAGTGGCAGGTCATGGAAGAATAGTTCCCACATAATGATTTGCTGTTAATATTAGATTTCAGTACCCATGGGATAGTCACACTTAGAGTAGCTGGAGAAAATTACCTGCCAGCTCTCCGACAGGGAAGTGAGCTATATTTATTTATACCTTCTCTTTTTTTTACACGTTGACATGCTTTTAAAGTGATAATTATTCTGACAGAGATTTTCAGTGTTCAAACTCTAGCTTTGTGATGGATGAATGTGTCTGAAATCGTGACACGGTTAGCAGCGGTGGATGTTTCTGTGGCTGCGCCTGAGCGTGTGACTGATTTGATCAGCAATGTTGATTATTCACTGGTGGCTTCTGATGCTTAAACTTATGAAATTACTTTCTGTGCTATCTCCTTCCAGTGCAGCTGCCCAGAACAAGATTTTTGTTTAATGAGCTTTTTTGCCTTGAAATACATTTGCTCTCCCACCCTAACCCAGAGAGAGTGATGCTTCGGAGGAAGGTTATTCAGATGTGGATTAAGCTCGAGTTTTGCTTTCTATTTACACTTAGTTCAGTTCATTAACCTTCCCTCAGAAACAGAAGCAGAATAACATTTTTTAATCAACAGAGAAAGCCACAAAAGTAATTGTTAAAACTGTTCTATTTATCATTGAATCAACAACCACATACTGTATGTGTAGCACCTTTTCTGTCCTTGTTTCTGCTTGTATTGTATATGAAGGGAAAAAGGAGCTATTTAAGGAGTGCCCTTCTTGACTTTTGCCTGAGCGCTGATGACAAGTTGGATATCTTAGATGCATAAAAATGCGATTATGACATGACTTCAAAAAGAGAAGCATACGGATGAGGTGGACCCTCTGCCAACAGAGAGATGAGGAAACAGATGGGTTTTACACAAACAACACAAACATCAAGAACACTGAGTTAAAGAGCTTGGCAGTCTCACTTGATGAAACAGTGAGGAATGGAGGCGCTTTTAATGAGCATCTCTCCTGTGATGCAGAATGTGGAAAGACAAACTGTTCTTAAAGGGGCAGTCACAGCTGCAGACTGAGTGCTTTCACTAACCTCCTGTGGTGTGACTTGGGGTGGTACGCATGTAGATCAGTTATTGTTTAAATGGAGATTCATGTCTTCATTGGAGCATAAAATAGTATATCAGCTGACTTATCCAGCTGAACTGAAGGCACTGCCGTCAACAAACAAAGCCTGTTTGTTGTTGATGTTGTTTATACTGACAGTTGGTGATCGGCCAATAGATGGCGCCAGATGTATGAGAAGGGTCAGAGAGAGGGCGGTACCAGTTGGAAGGGTGGCAAATCAGGCAGTGATAGTTTATTTAGTAACAAATGTGACAAGTTGTTTTCCACCTGTAAGCAGCTGAGAGACACCGGTTGCAAATAAACTACTTTTAGTGAGTTTGAAATGGCAGCTTAAACTTCAGTTAATCTGTTTGGATGAAATGTTTGGTTTATAAAGTGCCAGAAAATAGTGAAAAATGCTCATTACACTTTCCTGAAACCCAAGGTGATGTCTTCAAATAGCTTGTTATGTCTCAGTAAAAACCACAGATATTCAGCTACTAACAGTTATTTTTATTATCCATTAATCTGTAGAGTATTCCATCAACTTGATATATAAAATGTATAAAAACTGTGAAAAATGTCCACAGTTTTCTAAACCTTAAAACAATTCAGTTCAATTCAATTAATTTTTTATTTGTATATCACCAGTTCACAACAACAATCATCTCAGGGCACTGAGATAGTAGTTACAGTAGTAGTATAAGTAGTTACAGTAGTAGTATAAGTAGTTACAGTAGTATAGGGAAAACCCAACAATCCCTCTTGAGCAAGCACTTGGCGACAACAGGGAGGAAAAACTCCCTTTAACAGAAGAAACCTGTGACAGACCCCGGCTCCTGGTGGGCGGCCTTCTGCCTCGACCGGTTGGGGTGAGTGGATAGAGGAGAGACAAAAGAAAAGGATCAAGACAGAACAAACAAAACAACAATCAGACAAACACTGAGCAAGTTGATGTGGCTGGTGACTGCTCATCTGAAACATAGAGCTCAAGAGCCAGGGCAACCTGCAGAAAGGTACAGGGAGAGAGAGAGGACACACTACGGGAGAGAGGAGACACAATTAGTGACATTTAATGGGGGCATATAAAAATAAAATGGAGAGGAGAGGAGCTCAGGGCATCATGGGAGGACCCCACCCTAGGCCTATAACTAAGGGATAGTACACCAAATCAAGCTTATCCTAGAATGCACATTCAGTAATTTCTTAGACACCACTACACAAGCATAAACGAAGGCCATCTGGTTGAAAAATCCCCACTGGTACAGTTAAATATACTCAGTGAGTGACATTTAATGGGGGCATATAAAAATAAAATGGAGAGGAGAGGAGCTCAGGGCATCATGGGAGGACCCCACCCTAGGCCTATAACTAAGGGATAGTACACCAAATCAAGCTTATCCTAGAATGCACATTCAGTAATTTCTTAGACACCACTACACAAGCATAAACGAAGGCCATCTGGTTGAAAAATCCCCACTGGTACAGTTAAATATACTCAGTGGCAACAGGACGGCCTAGGCCCCCTGTTTGCTTGCAGTTACTAAGATGACTGTCAGTCTTATCCCTGTTCAGCCACACTGGATGTTATGGTACCATGAAATATCAGAAGGCATATCACAACATGCCAAGTACCTTGCTACCCTCCCTTGCTCTCCTACTAAGGTTATATTGAAAATACTAATAACTAATAACAGGACAACAATATTTTATCAACCTAACTATAAGCTTTATGAAAAAGGAAAGTCTGAAGTCTAATCTTAAAGGTAGAGAGGGTGTCCGCCTCCTGAACTGAGACTGGGAGTTGGTTCCACAGGAGAGGAGCTTGATAGCTAAAGGCTCTGCCTCCCATTCTACTTCTGTGGACTCTAGGAACCACAACCAGACGTGCACTCTGAGAGCCAAGTGCTCTGTGGGGATGACAGGGCCTTCAGATTGCAAACCCCAAATTGTTTTAGTTTAGACTGATATAAATGCTGTCAGTTTATGTTCTGTTGGTTGACTAATCAGTTCAGCTCTTCAAAAATGACATGTTGTTTGTTGTGTCATGTGTAATGAGCTGAAAGACTTTCCAACAATGAGCTTGAAGAGGACAGTGGCACCCAGTCCATAAATGTTTTTCTCTATATTCATTCCTTTTTCTGTGTCCTATGTAGCAGTAGTTTGTCTGTGCAGGGTTACAGTTCAGAGTTTGAATCGTTTTCCTATAAACAGCCTGATGTTTTCTTTCTACAGTATCTGCTGCTAGTAACTCTGTGTTGATCCCTCAACCCGTCCAAAGACACAGTCTCTCGGGAGATGATAGCTTCCTCAGGTCAGTACCTCTGAGTGAGTCTGAGTGGAGCACACTCAGTTTTGCAGGTTGTTTTTAATAGTTTACCTGATCTGCTTTGAGTATGTGCGACAGTACGAGGCGATGGCTGTGTGTGTGCCGTGCTGTAGAGTGATGTAGGGATATGTATGCAGGAGCGCGGTCTCCCTACCTGCCCCCCGGTGCTGATCACTCACAGCCGCTGTTGTTACACACACAGCACACCCACGGGTCATGTAATTAGATTCCATGGGTCCCCATTTTACAGTTCATTGCCATGTAATGAAATCAGTTATTTACTTTCATCATAAAATCTGATAAGGAACAACATCTGCCAGGGTAAAGTTTGAGTGAGCACTGCACATGAATGTTGATGCACAGTCTGCAACATCCACATCTGCAGCAGCACCGTCAGCTGTCGCTCCACGCACAAGAGTCGGCGCTCGGCTGCAAGCTTGTCATTTGACTCAACGTGTGGATACAGATGTGACAGTGTATTTTAGTTTGTTTGCTTTTAGGAACACAAGGAGCGTAGGAGCAGCAGCAGAGGAAATCAGTTCCCCTACACTGAGGAGAGGAGTGTGCAGCAAAGTGTCTGGTTTCTGAGTCCCTGCTCTGCTCTGCTGCCGTCTCATTATACTGCTGCTGAGCTGCTGGAGGACACCGAAGGACACAAGCGATTGAAAAGTGTTGTATATTCCCTGGAAACCAATCAAGAAAAGCCCCAGAATAATAATCCCTATCCACTGTCATGATTCATTTTTATTTTGTTCCATATTTTTCTCTGGCTTTTGAGTCACTCAGAAAGAGTAGTTCCAGCATAAAATCAATGTTCCATTAAAATTTAATGACCAGGAAGGGCTTAATAGTGGTGGAACAGATGCCTCTGCTTTTGATAATGCCGACATCTCGGGGACTCTTATTCAAAGCTGTATTGGTGTTGTCAGGTCTTCTGACCGTCCCCGTTCTCACTGTGAAAAACAAAGGATGTTGGCATCTTTTGTGCCTCAGAGCGGTGAAATTAAAAGTTAGTAAATTGACAGTAAAACTCATAAAATCCATCAAACATTGACAGAGGAGGCTACAGCCGATGGCACATTATAGTCATAACTATAATTACTCACTGTGTTAATGTTGACTGAGGGCTATTCCAAACAGTTCTTTTTCTCAGTGATAAAATGAAAAATAAAACACCCTTTTCTCCATTTAATGAAGTCAGATTTGACTGTTGGGAAAGAAACAAGAGTGTAAGACTCATAGGTTCCTTGTGCTATTGTTTTTATTAATGTTATCATTGCTATTGTTGTCATCAGTATTAATTGTAGCAGAACAAGAAAAATCAAAACACCCCTCAGCAATCATGGCTTAAGTTTCTTCGTACTCATCTGGAGAAAGATAAAGAGAGAGTGAGAAGGAAAGTGGAAAATCTTAATCAGTATTTTTTTTTCTTTGAGGACCATATGGAAGGTTTCAAGCAGCCAACCATATGTTGAAGGCTTTTGTCATGGAAATCATACTTTTTTGGCACTTTTTCATTGCGCAGCCAAGCCGGGCACATAAATAAAAGGAAACAAGAACAGAAAAATCATACAGAACATCATCAAATCTTTGAGAATACACAGAGCTTGAAGTTTTCATTTGTAACTTAAAACAGATAGCGTTTTAGTCAAGACACTCCCTGATTCACATGGCCATCCAGACTGCAAATGGTACCTGTATTTGTCTTTTTAATTAAAAAAAAGACAACATGAATAGAAAAAGAGCATTTAAATGTCTACATGCATTGTCATATTATTGCTGTGATATATGTACAGATATATTTACAAAATTGTCAAAGAGGAACAATGTCTCCCTATGTCTTAATTCAGAAGTTTAGAATCAAATTGTGCCTCCTTTTCTGTTCTGCCAGTTTAAGATACAAGCCTACACTCATTTCCAATTGATATTTCAGTGATCTCAATGCTTTTATCTGTCGTTTTAAAACACAGTCTCAAGGTTTTGGAGATGCTTTATAATTTCTGTCCCACAGTAAAATGTAAAACATATAACAAAGAACCCACTGGAAGCAGTAGTGCAGCGACGTGCCAAACTATGTGTTCTCTAAGGAGACAGGTGGTTTGGATGCTCTCATGCAGTGATTCAGCTGCAGCGTGACCCTTGACAGGATAATGGTGAAATGGAGGAGAGGATGGACAGAGCACAAACTCCTCTTTTTTCTTTTCTACTCATGTTTGTGGTTTCTTTTTTTATAATGATATCTTTCAGGTCAAGCTCAGCATTACTGCAATCATGTCGTCTATTTGGAATATGCAAATAGCTGACGGTGCATTTGCCTGCTGGTGCTTGACCTTCCCCTTGGAGGTCGCTCACCGACTCAATTACACTCCCTATCTGCGGTCTGTCTGCAAACACCTGTTATCCTCCCACACTCCGCCGCCCTCCGCCAATCCCACTTCAGCACATCTCATCCTCGCTGCGTCTCTTTAGAGGCAGTTTGGATGAGATGAGGATGGCTGGTGGGGAGGTATCTGATGTGAAGCAGGGACAAATAAAGGGGGGTGGGGGTGTTAGAAGGTGAATTGTAGAACCTTGTTTTACATCAACAATCTTGAAAGCCTGTAACGAGACAGTTCATGTCAAGATCATTTCCATTAGTGCTGATTAGAAATACATAGAGCCAAGCACATGTTATCTGCACAGTATTCTCTCCTTTGGCTGTTTCAAACTGCGGTGAAAAGTTAAGAGCAGTGAATGTGACTATTTACAAGCGTTGTTGTGTCAGTGACCTTGTAAATTGTTGTTTAATGAATCTATTGTTTAATACTTAAACTTTGAGCGCTTCTGCCCTTCAGCTGCCAGAAGAGAGGTTTCTACCTGGTTGCTCAAAAACAAAAGAGGCAATTGAAAAATAAAGATATTAAGAAATAGCAGCCTTTTCCAGTTGAATTAACAGTGGCAGAAGTTTGGACTTTATAAAGGCTGTATAAAGGACTGAGTGTTGCCCATAGACACTGTGTTGCTATTGTTATTGCTTGTGCACCTTTAAAACCTTAGTGTAACTAGATTACAAGACTTTCTAATTTAAACAAACAGTATTAAACATTTACTGTCAACACCTAAATGCACATTGCCATTTATAGCAATTGTTTATTGCCTGAGGTTTAAACAAAGGGCCAAAATCTCCAGTCATGAGGACGCAGTGAACCTTTGGGAGGGAAACATGTCTTAGTGTTTTGTTTTCACCATTTCTTTTTATTGCCCTAAATCGACGGGAAGCAGGACAGCTGTGATCGTCACTTGTTACATCAGTGAAGTCGAAAACAAAAGTAATTCAGCATTAATTTGTGTGAAGTCTTCTAGCACTGGTACCGTACATTGTTCCTCTTAAAATAAATTAAAATAAAAAAACTAAGTCCCAAGGACTTTCTACAGTTTTCATGCATATAAACATTTTCTGTGAAGATCAGCAGCATCTTACAAGGTTGATGGATGTTCATTTTTTAAATTAAAATAAATACATGATCATTAACAAATAGGCAAATCTTCAATAAATACACAAAACAAGGTAAATAAATAGGTATATAAATAATGTATTTACATGATAAATAGATGGTATGAATCTAAACCGAGGGCGGAGCTTTGAGCGACATATAAAACAGACAGACAGAATAATTTGATCATCACTTTGTAACTGAGGGTGTGTGAGTCCATAGCTTCACTCTGAGGTAACACTGGTGGAGAGGAAGCACCTCAAACACTGGCTGACGATAGTTTAAGTTTGGACGATGCACCATAAAGGCAGCAGAGTTTATGCAAGCCACCATGGTGGAGGAAGAACAATGAGAGTTTTCATTGCTATAGACGTGTCAACCGCACATGGCACTTACAACGACAGATTATTTGGTGTGTTTTTGTCCAAGTCTGTACACCAGGGCGAGACTATGAATAACCTGTTCAACAGGCCTGCTCTTCCAGAATCAAATTGAATGACCTATGGCCTATGATCTTGTATAGCTTATTTAAATTATTATTACTATTTTGAATACCCACAGTTACAAAGATGCTTTTAAGTAAATAAAAGATAAAAAAAAGCACAAAAAATGTAGAAAAATGAAATAGAAAAATAACATCTGTTCAATTGAAAGACTGGTATGGAGAAAGGGGCTTGTCTTTTCACCTTTTAAAATGATCTCGCTTTTTTTTGCAAATACTGTCATAGTTCACATTTTCATAAAAAGTTCATGTTGGCAGTTGCAAAAGAATTCAATTCTTAGCAAATAAAAAGCAGCATAAAAATACAAGAGGTCATTTTGTCTCTAAAAAAACAAAAGAACACTGTTAGTCCTTTTTTATTATCTTTTTTTCATTTTCTCATTACTATTTGCTATAAAATATCAGGAATCTAAATATTATTACTATTGATATCAATATTATTATAATCATTGATAAAAATTCACATGCCAGGCCTCATATATAATTGTGTGTGTAAGTGTGTATATGTTTGTTCGTGTGTGTGTGTGTGTGTGTGTGCATATACGTCTGTGTGAGTGCTTACATGAACCCACGTCCATGCGAGCACATGTTGCTTAAATGTGTACAACTATCATCTACAGTCTCTGTTTGGGGGAAGGTTGTTTGATTGTATGTTTCTGTGGACGATTAGCTACTGTGCAGGGAAAAAAATCCAGCATCTTTTGAAATCGTCTTTGCCATAATCATTAGAGTTTCTTCACGTAATCTCAGTGAAAATATTGCTTTCTAAAAAGGGAAGAAAAAAGGCATGGAGGGCAAAGTGAACAGGGTTATTGGTTGTGAACCTACAACAGGGGTTCAAAATTTTGCTTCTTCCTCGTGGTTAGTTTTCCGATCCAGAGTCATCTTCGTCTGCAGAGCCCTTGAAGCAAGCTGACTCATAGTGCTTGTTCAGGTAGGACTTGAGAGCGAAGGTCTTATTGCAGCGCTTGCATCTGTAGTGCTTGAAGGCAGAGTGTGTTTGCATGTGGGCGCGGAGGTTTGAACGGTCAGCAAAGGCTTTGCCACAGTGGGCGCAGGCAAAGGGCTTCTCCCCCGTGTGTGAGCGCATGTGACCTTGAAGGAGCCACGGCCGGCTGAAGGCCTTGCTGCACACTTCGCACTTGTGCTTGAGGTCGTGGGTGAGGATGTGCATGGCTAATGCAGGCATGGACACGTACACTTTGCCACAGGTGGGACACTTGCGGGCCATCTTGCTATCCAGGCTGCGGTGCGTCTGCTTGTGTCTGCTGAGGTTGGACGAGGTGGCGTACGTCTTCCCACACTCATTGCAGGTGTGGCGAGGCGTCCCGGCTGCCCTCTCCTGGGCCCCAGCGTTGGCACTGCTGCTTCTGGAGCCCCCACCACGACTCTCACTGTCTCCCTTTCGCCTTGAGCGCCCGTCAGAGATGAAGAAGGCATCCATGGTGTAACCCTCGGCCAGGGCCTCCGATTCGCCACTGTAGAAACCGCTGGCTGTCATGCCAGACTGGGGGCTGTCGGGGTGCTTCAGGTCAGGGTCACAGTACTCCTCTCCACTGCTCACCTGGGTGTACAGGGGGTCTGAAACTGGCGAAGCCAGCTTGTGCTCCATCTTCTTCTCCCCCTGGTATCCAGATGGTGTGATGTAATCCTGGATGTAGCCTGGGTAGGAGACACACGCAAACACAGTTGGCCAGGGGTTGTGATGGATAAGAACACAGTGACATGCTGGTGATTACATGATTATCATGTTGGATGATTGCCCTTTTTAAAATAGTGAAAGAGTGAGTGGCAGCACAGAGCTAATTGCATTCTTTCCAGTATTCAGGTTGCACAATAGCGCAGTGATGCTGGGAAACATGATGAGCACTAGATAGCTCATCAAAGAAGTCTCCTGTGTGAGAAGAGAAAGGCCCCTCTTAAATGAAGCAGTCTCACTGATCAGACCTCTTTTTCTTTACATATGGCATGAGGTCTTGTGTAGCTGCGGCCTGTCTCCAGGCTTGCTTGAGTGCTCTACGAGCACTGGCATTATCAGTCAGAGTTTAAACTCTATCAAACACTTCTCCGGGTTTTCTTTTTCTTAGTGGGTGCTTGGAAAAAAAACATCCAAACAGAAAACAGGTTGTTTCTCTGATTTGACAAGACTTTCTGTAATAATTGCATTTTTTTACTGCAAACTGTTTTGTTTTGGACCCGATCAATTAGTTACATAGTTGCTTTCATCCTATAGGATTTGTGCTTCTTCTGGCAGGTTTATGCATGATACAGCAAAGTACAAAGCACCATGAGCCCCCACCTGCACAGAGCATCATTTCAGTGAGATATGTATTTTCATTGGCATCGTTCTTGTTTTTCCTTTCACTCCGAAGCAGCTCAGTGCCAGAGGAACTAAAATGTTTGCTGGCAGCTAAATGCATCCAACCAGAAGTCGATATATTCTTATACTGTGAATATCAGGAGCTAAATAAATGCTAAATGCAGTTTACCTCTAGGGTTGATATTGTATAGGCTGAACATATGAGAGCAAATATAAAATGTGGTGAGATTCCTTTCCTGAGAGAAAAGCTGCATATCTGCAGAAAATAAGCCATTCCTAAGCACTGTGCGCAGCAAGCAGTGGGAATTAAGTATTGACTGCTTTTTAATGAAATTCAAAGTTTTGAGCTGATCAATAGGCTTTCATCTGTAAAATAGTGCAGCTGTTCGAACAGCAGAGCGCTGGAGAAGATAGAAATAATGGGAGGAACAGGCCAAGTATCTGCGACACACAATAATAGTTTACTGAGCACGGTGCGCTTGAGGACTGATAATGTGCGACTGGGCATCACGCTCATTGTTTGTGAAGAGGGTCACCTGTCTACAGCAGCAGGCACATTCAAGTGCCTTCAAGAAGCAGCTGAAGTGCTTTCTTACTAGAGCGTCTCCATTCCCAAGGGTTTCTGTTCACACAGTCACTTTGTCAAAGACATGACCATGACACCCGGGGACAGGGAAACACCAGGCCTGTGCACACATTATTATGCTGCACTGCATGGGTTCACTGTTGTAAATTACACAGATGGTGTTCGTCTGGGAGAGAGCAGCTCTTTTTTTTTTTTCCAAAAACAAAATGAAAAAAAGAAGAAATAGCACTTATTTATCATTTTAAAAATGACACTGTTATAATTACAATGCACATGCTGCAGCTTCAACAGCTATTCATAGCTACGCATATCCACCTGTTTTACACTGACACTACAGGCTGCCATAGACATAGACATAGGTAAAGGACCAGTACGCACTACATATGACAGCATGGCCTTTATCTTTGCTGGGGATGTTTTTAATTCAACAAAACATACTGTATCAGTGTAAGCAGAGGTTACTATTTTCAACTACCCAAGGTCAAACAAGGAGCTCATCATTTAGGACTCGTGCTGTATCAGCCTTCACAGCTCATAGACTCATTTCTCTAATGCAAAGCAAGCATGTAATTAATGGACCCTCTCAGCCACCCCTCTTTGTTGTTCGACAGACACTCAAGTCAAATGTCTCCACAATAAGGGGAAAGAAAATCTCCTGGCACGGCAGAAGTGCTGATGTTAGGTATTTCAGCCACGCTGAGAATTCCTCTATTTTGCCTTTTTCTCTTCTGACTTTGCAACAGAAAGATAATTCCTTTGTTCAGATGAACCTTTTGTCTAGTGCCTTATCATTCTTTTCTTCTTTTTAATGTAATTCTTTTTCTTTTTTTTGTTGCTGAACAATAGATTCAAGAGCAACAGAGTAAATATAAAAAAACTGTGCAGCAGGAAATCTAAATAGCCATTATTACAAGCTGCCTTCTAAATATATATATATATGAGGTGTTTATTTTATGCCATAGTTGTTTAGTCTTTACCCAGCAGACTGTTTTAAATGGAACAAACCATTATAGTTTACAAACCAGTTCTGTCTCTCTTACCACATGTAAAAAATTCCACTAGTCCAGAGTGCATCTACATTTCACTGAACCTTGTTATTGACATGGCTGAATAACAGGTGGGCATCATCACAACATGTAGCTGTGGAAGCCTCTCTCACTGTGAAAATGTCCTAACAAATCATAACAAAGACACACATATGGCCCTCTAAATGTGGCCACAAAATGGAAGCGGCGAGCTTAAAGCAGACTGTGAAAGTGAAGGTCGCCTCTGAGTGCTGGAGCTTGGTGTGGCCGCTCCATGTGCTGACCACATTTCAGCTACTGTATGTGCCTTTCTTTGTGTTTACTGTATAACCTCTGCCACATGATCAGTCTCACTGCTGCCCCAAGCATTTTTCCTCCTCTTTCTCCTTCCCTTCACTATGCCTTCAGCTGTGCCCCCCCCCACCCCCCTCACTACTGTACTGTTCAGCCTGGTGATGTCTCTGGTTGTGGCGATATAGGCCTGCATGGTTGAAACTCTAACCCCTGCTACTTTTCAAATGCCCAGAAGGAAGAGAAAGATGTAGTGAAGCGATGGGGGTGGGGAGACCGTGCATGCTCCATTTGGATGTGAAGAGGGGGGCAAGGGAGGTTTGGATCATGATGGGAACTCAAGGACAATAACAGCTAAGGACAAATGTATCAAATGATACTCATCTCTCATGTTCATGAATTTTTCAGTCCACATGACAAACAGATATAGTCAGCCTGTACGTATCCACCACAGGGTTGGTGCAGTCATAGAAATACCTAATTGGAGCTTCTCCTGATTAGACACACGTTTTGTTCCCCATTTACATAAGCTAATCCGCGGCTGTGACCTGAATTGTGTCTGTCCTTCACTGGAGTCAAAAACCAAAAGTCTGGGAGCACAGCAATGGGGGTAGGGTGCTTCTGGAGAGGGATTATTTAGGACATTGATGCAAAAATCAGCTGACTCTCACATTAATTTACACCCTCCGAGCATGTTATTGGCTGAAGCAAAAGAAAATCTCACCCAGCACAAAAAACAAAAGAGGATACCATCTGTGCTACATGTGGAAATGCCAGGCATGCTGAAATCAGTACCGGGGCTGTCTACAGGCAAGAGTGCTAGCACAGCTTTAACTGGAGTGGGGCAGACTAGTGGAGGCATGTTAACTCACCATTCTCACTGAGACGAACCCCAAGGCTGGTCACCGAGTCTGTGATGGAGCGCGAAAAAGTGAACGAGTCGTCCAGGTGGTGGTGATGATTGGACGCACTGGACGAAGAGAAATCATCAAGCTTGATCTTCTTGACCAAAAATGAGCGGGGCATGTTTCAATGGATAAAAACACGGAGCTGAGAAAAACGCATGAGAGAAAATCAAAGAGGAAGCACACGAGCGGAGCTGGCTTGACGGTAATCCTTGTGGTTAATGTGAAGACAACGGCCAAAAACATATGATAAGAAAGAAAATGGAAACCAGTGGAGTGAAGTCTGGCGGCAATGCTGTGTGGTACTCTCTGGCTCCCCCAGCTTCCCTCAGAAAAATAAAAAATAAAAAATAAAAGCGATCCTGATCAGCACTGGATAGCTCCTGTGATGCAGCAGGCTTAATGGACCAGTGAGGAAGAGACGAGATGGAGACAGACAGAGAGAGGAGGGAGAGAGAGGCTGTCAGACTAGCTGAGATCAGCAATCACGCCAGCCTTTATATGGGGCACAGGCAGTGGAAGATCAGGTGGTGCTGCGAAATGGAGCTGCTTAGCTTTAATCCATCAAATGTCCCCAGGGACACACATCAAATTACTTCTGAACCGTCTGTGCATTCGCACACAGACAGAGGAGAAAGAACACAGCCAGACCCCCACTGCCCCGACTGCTCCCCCTTCTCCTCCCCTCTCCTCCCCTCCTTCTTTTACCCAGCTTATGCTCCATGCTCAGAGGAGGACTAAAAGAGGAGGGCAGACAATGGAGATGTGGATGAGAGCACACTCAGTGTCCTGTCCCCCATTGTTTTCAGATGAAGTGGCACAGTTTATGTTTGCCTTGTACAGGCGCTGCCTCCTTCATGTCACCTCCGATTCCTCAAACAGCTTCAGATTTTTCTGTCCCCTCAACACACTGCACTGCATTCGCATGCTGAGAGCACAGTACAGTACAGGAGAAGTTATCTGAGAGTTTGGGAGACCTGGACCTTTTTTTTTTTAAAGCTGCACTGGATTCCAGCACGGCTGACAAGCACACTAGGGGAAAGTACTGGCGCTGCACGGTTCAGCTCATCCCCCCCCCCCCATTTCTGCTGCACAGATGTGTGCCCTGCCATGCGTGGCAGTGAATTATCTGATTAATTAATTACATCTTTTTTTATTAGGGTGAAATCTAGAATTAGATCCGTGCTCACTGCATTGGCCAGATATCTATGGCTTTGTATTTGTGTGGATTCATTATCTCAGTGAATGTTAAGCTATGCATTGTATTTATCATTAGAGTTCAACATTTGTTGATCCCTTGTTACAATAAATGAGAGAGAAATATTTATACAGAATAATGGAAACTTGTTATAGTTTCTAAAAGCAACAGTGAAAACTAGGAATGATGCACTTGACCGATTCACCTTCAAAACAAAACTTGTGCCATATCATTCATTCATTCATTCATTTTCTACCGCTTAGTCCCTGAACGGGGTCACGGGTGGCGCCGGAGCCAATCCCGGCCGGCAATCGGGCGAAGGCGGGGTACACCCTGGACATGTCGCCAATCCGTGCCATATCATTTGTTTGGTTAATTAATGTCTTAGCACTTTACACCAGCAAATCGAATGACTTTTAAAGGAAAACTATCAGTTTCTTTTTTGATATATCACATATAATATCCATGGAGAAATGTAGGCATCAGAAAATAATGCAGATCAATGTGTCTGTTCTGTTTTGTGCCTCTTGCTTTTGTGGCTGTGGAAGTAAACCAAAGTACTGTAGGAGAAAACTGAAATATATCCATTCTTTAAAAATCCTCTTTATAATATGTGGTAATGCTTACAGTTAGTTTGCCAATTATTTCTTTTATCAGTGTTTAGTCAGAAAGCTGGGAAAAGGCCATTCTGATTTCCCTTGAACCTTCTTTAAGTTCCTTATTGTGTGCATTCAGCAGGTCAGAGCCCAGATGCTTTGTAGAAGCTTTAATCACGGGTCATATTTGCTCAGTCATTTTCTTAAACATTTAATCAATAATCACAGCTATTAGTGATAAATTTTCTGGCCATTAACTAATTTTAATTTATTAACAAAATGTTTTAGCACTAACTATTTTGTTGTATACATTTTACTTTATTTCTTTGTTTTAATCAGTTACATTATTAGAAGTCACATCCAACCTTAAAAGCAACAGGTTTCCCAAGCTTTACAACCACTTGTCACTTGCCCTGGAAACATTTCAACAATCCTTCAACCTTGAGATAACAGACTCAACTTCTGACTAATACATTTTGCATTTTCCATGTTGATCCAGCTCCTAACGCTGTGGCTGAATGTGGTTAAAGATGCTACAGATTTGCTCAGACATGTGCCCCATGCCTGGGTCACACTAAATCATCCCTGCCACTACTGGTGACCCTGCTGCTTGGACAGATTTCAAGAGGGAACAGCGTTAAATCAGTGCAGTTAGGATTTATCACACATATTTGCTACAGGACAAGCTGACATTGCTGTCACCAAGCCAAGCTTATACAGTAGCATAGAGGCAAGGATGAGAAAGGTCATGGGAAGAATTATTGTCTAAAGTAATGAGCTGTGGTGATGCTTTTCGGTTTTGAGGGTTCTAAAACATTTTTGTGAAGCAGTGTTTCATATAAAACATCTCAAATTCGACCTGTTTTGTTTAAGATATTTCTTGTGTCAACATGTTTGAATTATAACGAGAATAATACTTTTATTTTATACAGCGCATTTTACATTTCATAACACAGTTGCCAAGTGGTTAACAATAAAAACAAGGAATAAAAATAATAAAATCAAAACAAAAGTCTAAAATGTGATACTTACTTAAAATGGTTAAAACAATACATTAGTTAAGAAAAGACCATGTGATGAAAGTAAGTTTGAGATTGTTGAGAGGAGCTCGAGCAGCAGTCAGGCTCACAGGCAGTGTAAGAAACAGCCTGACCAAAACTCACAGGTAAGGACCCGTGTGCTGTGGTCACTTCTTTAAGTTGTGTTACAAGCCCGGCAGCAGTGTTTTGTATCAGCTCTAGTCTTTGGCTGTTTCACCTGCTGATACCAGAACAGACATCACTGCTGAACAATGAAGGCTTGCACAACTTTAGTAACCTGACTTTCTAAGGATAACTCACAGTCAAACACAGCACTGAGGTTTCAGGCCTTTTTCTTGGCAGGAGTAAAGCACCCAGACTAGATAAGAGACTGTAAATGCTACTAGTGCTAGGGGCAGGAGGTGTCATTATGATTTGGCATCATTCAGCTGCAAGAAATTATTTGACATCCGTTTTTAATTTCGACAAATCAGAACATAATAGGTGAGACATCAGCCCTGCCGGGCTTTAATGGGACATACAGGTGCATATCATCTGCATACCTGTGAAAATTGACATTATGTCTGCATAAGATTTGCCCCGAGATTATCATGTATCTAGTAAATAAAGGAGGACCCAGAAAAGACCCCTGCAGGATCCCATAAGAGAGGAGCACACAAGAAGCAGGTATCTACAAGCATAGCTGTCCACAAATCCAGAGCCACATCACCACATAGTTTTCAGATTTATTGCAAAGATCATCATTTGTTGAGACGAGGATGTTTGTAGCTGCTAAGTGATTCTTCAGATGTTATTCCATGGAGCAGGGATCTTAAATGAACAATTAGCCTGCCTTTTTCATATTGAACTTTTCCAGTATCTAATGAAGTTTCTCTTTTAAAACTGTACAGCTCACTTTTGGCAGAAAGAAAAACCCAAAGCTATTCAGCTAATGATATATTTAAGAAACTGGAACCATATCACCCAGTTGTAATAATGGAAGAAGCCACCTGTAACAGGAAAAGGTATCAACCAGTGTGTTTGCAGTAACATCAGATTAAATTTTCTGTGCTCGGGCTGTTTTCTGCCTAATGTTAACATAATCTTCAAATTAATTGTTGCACCATTCCATCATATGTGAGCTTTCAAGATACAGTAGCTCAAAGAATGATTGCAGCAAGTTAGCTGCAGGTTAGAGCTGACAAAAGGAAGCATGCTGTGACTGAAACATCACCAGCAGCAGGTAATTCAATGCAAGTTGTTTCCACATCCTCCTCCTCTTCCTCCTCCTCCTCCTCCTCATGCAGGAGCTGAAGTCCATTTATGGCCTCCAGACTCCTCCTGACATGTGGTCACTGCCTCAGGATGTCTCCATAGCAGCTGACCCCCTTGGACTGGAGGGAAGGTTTTTACTTTGCAGTGCTGGAGCGGGGGCTTTGCACTGGTCAGATGGGAGGGGGGGCAGTGAGGCTGTGATACAATCAGCCTCATTAACATCTTGTCTGCCCCTCCAGGGTCATGGAGATGAACTGGCGAGCCGAATAAATGAAGTCAATTTAGTTGATTTGTTCCTTCATGCTGTTATACAAGAGACTCGATCAACTACTCCTTCTACACAACAGTTGCCTGATTAATTCTGACAAAGAAGAAGATTAACTAAATAGAAAATATGATTTTCACTATGACTGTGATGCATTAAACCTGAAACTTAAGTGTCTCCTAATTGGCACTGCTTACTGTAAAGACATTCTGAGCTGTTTGGGCTAGGTGAAGAGAAGCAAGAGTCCATTAGGCACAGCCATCTATAATTCACCTCACTCTTGCTTACTGGGTCGCATCAGTGAGGCTTTTTTGAGCTGCTACTGTACAGTAGGAAGACTGATGGGCTCTTTGAAAAGATGAGAGCTGCTGGTTGAGAAGTTTAAAGATTTTGTTTTTCATTTTTAAAACATTTTCAGGGATAAAATCCCTTTTTATGTGTTTTTACATAGACACTGATCAGATAGTTTAGTGAATAAGGTCATGAAGGCAATATTTAACATTTCACTGTTGATTCCCAGTTCAATATGAAGTCTGAATGGACCTTAACTACCATCCCAGTCGCACTGCATCTAATGCTGTCTGGCAGATAGTTCAGTGTATCACTCGTGCCCTATTTGGCTTGTGTCTGCCTGTTGTCCTGTATGCATCTCAGAGCATGTGTGCATTTGTTGTCCATGGGCAACTGTTCAGTAAATAGGGCAATTAAGTGTGAAAAGCAGAAAGGAGCTAGCATGTTACTATCTCTTTGGTGGCGGAGATAATTTATGCTAATAACATCTCTACCGTTCAAGCTGCCCAAAAATGATAGCAGACCCTTTTGGCTTCAGAAGAATCTTTTCATCCTCTTGGAGAAAAAAACTGGTTTCTCAACACCTTGCAAAGAAGACAGCTGCGTGGCAGTGAATGAATCTCTCTCTCCCTCTCTGTCTGCCTTTCATCTCCAGATGATAATCTTTTCTCCTTCACTGTCTTGTATGGTGCATGTTTGTTCTTCATTTAGCCCATGGAATACTTGAAACCTAGTTTTTCTCCTCCATCTCCCCCTGCTCTCTCTTATAGCCTCACACCCTGCACACAATCTATCATCATTTTTCCTTCAAGAGCTGTCGTAGGAAGTCACAGCTTGTGTGAATGTATCACTGTAAATAGTATCCCATGCATGAATGATGCTCCTTAATACCACTTAAACCCGAGCTCAGTATGCTGTTCATGTGGCACGAAGTCCTCTATCATACTGGGAGCACAGAGGCAGTTGGTGGCTGTGGAGAGCAGGGGCCACCATGGCAGCTCAATAAATGACCTCAATGAACGTGGGAGCTATAAACCATATGAAATCTCTGCCCGCTACACAATATCATGTTCAGTGAGGAGCTATCATGTCAGCCACTAAGAAAAAATGTGTCAGCTTCCAAGGCTAACAAAATTTCCTTAGTGCAACAGCAAAGACAAAGCCTGGTCAGAATCTGGGTTACAGTTTCAAACAGCTTGACTTAAAGGAAAAGTTTTACATTTTGGGGAAAACACCTGTTTGCTTGGCTTCCGAGAGTTAGACGAGAGAGTGGATACATCTTCACTAACAGTAGTGTAAAGGATTACACTGTGAAGTGTACTAAACCCAGTTATGCCCAGCTACTTAAACATTCTGCAGGATCAGCTTTTTCACTGTCTTGCAGGGAGCTTGTTGCAGCGTTGATGTTTGGCCTGTCTGCACTCAGCAAACAGGCCAGCATAGTGTGGGTTATTAGCTGGGTGAAGGGTTTAGAGGTGTGGGGGAGACAGTTAGCCTCCACCAAAGGTGGAGAAATGCAGTTTCCACACTCACCTTACTTGCCATATGTTGTTTGCTGTTTTGCATTAGGTACTGGAAAGCCTACATTCTTAAGTGACTTGATTTAATTGTACAGAGCTGGAAGGAGTGTGATCTTAAACTAGCTGTTGATTATCAGTTTGGATACAGTATCTCCAAACTGTAGGCTGATTGTGAAAAGTATATAATGAAAACAAAGTTCTGTTGGGATCGGTAAAGTATCTCTGTATCTATCGATCAATACCTGTATGATTAGGGCTCTACAGCAACAGAAGGTGTTCCTAGCAGATCACTTTC